ATTGACTGCAAGGGCATTCGCCCACTGGCTACTAAGTTCGAGGCTATACTGAACTTTCCAGAGCAACAGACAGTGAAAAGTCTCCGCACTTTTAACGGCTTGGTAAGTTATTATCGACGCTTTATTCCCAACTGTGCCTCTCTGATTTAGCCATTGACAGACCTTCTTCGAGGGAATGGCAAGTCCATAGAACTTGACGCGTCTGTTCGGCATGCTTTTACCCAGGTTAAAAAAGCTATTGCGAATGCCACACTTCTGATGTATCAGGATCCAACGGCACCGTTAAGTATTTCGGTTGATGCATCAAACACTGCAATCGGCGCAGTTCTACAACAGCTAGTTGACAAAGAGTGGCAACCACTCACCTTTTTCTCCAGGCGCCTTCAATTAGCTGAAACGAAGCACAGCACATTCAACAGAGAACTTCTGGCTATGTACTGTGCTATACGTCATTTTCGACATTCAGTAGAGGGTCGTGAATTCATAATTTTTACTGATCACAAACCTCTGACGTACTCTCTGAACTCATCTTCAGATAAGTATTCACCTAGGGGATCACGAAAACTGGATTACGTCTCACGGTTTACATCAGATATTCGCCATGTATCCGGAGTGAACAACACTGTGGCAGATGCCTTGTCGCGCGTTTGTTCCCTCACCCAAATCGACGGCATAGACCTTGTAAAACTGGCTCGTCTTCAAAAAGAAGATACCGAGCTTCAACAAAGGTGTGCGTCGGTGGCACGTTGGTTAGGACTCTCGCCAACCATGCACATGGTCCGGGATTCGAGCCCACGCCGGCTCACACCTGACATCTATGGTCGGCCTGCGAAATTTGGGCTATCGATATCCACACTGAAAATTCCATACTTGTACCAAAAATACAGTGTGGCACCAAGCTGTAAATAAAAAATAAAAAAACATGGGTTGTCGAAAACAACTCTACAATTATCTGAGAAGCCGTTAGGTATGGGAAGAGATACTATTCTATGCGACATTTCCACGAGTACTCCCCTCCCCATCGTGCCTAAAAGTCATCACCGTAACGTCTTCAATATGTTGCATGGCCTATCTCACCCAGGTATTCGAACTACTGTCAAGCTCGTAACTAGCCGGTTTTGTTGGCCTGGCATTAATAAAGTAAGGGAATGGGCACACACGTGCTTAGCTTGTCAAAAGTGCAAGGTAATAAGACACACCAAGAGCCCACTTGGCGCTTTCCTTCTCCCTGACACTCGTTTTGAACACGTCCATATAGATTTGGTTGGACCTTTTCCTGAATCCCATGGATATGCCTATATTTTAACTTGCATCGATCGATTCACACGATGGCCGGAAGCAGTATCTATCAAGGAAGTCTCTGCTGAAACAATCGCACGCGTCTTTGTAGAAACATGGATCGCTAACTTTGGATGTCCATCTTCCATAACAACTGATCACGGGTGGCAATTCGAAAGTGGCTTATTCTTCGCCCTGACTAAAATATTAGGTTGCATGCGATTTCGAACAACAGCCTACCATCCTCAAGCTAATGGTATGGTAGAACGTCTACACAGACAGCTGAAAGCTGTTCTGTCAGCTGCAAACAACACCCAAAGGGCTGAATCCCTTCCGTTAGTTCTCCTAGGGATACGAAACGCCTTGAGAACCGATGCTGGTTGTACTAGCGCCGGGCTAGTATATGGCACGACACTACGACTGCCTGATGAATTTGTTTCTCCCTCGAGCTTCCCACCAGTGGTAGATCACGCTTCATACGTCAGTAGGCTTACAAACGCAATGCGTTCAGTTAAACCTGCTCCCCTTCGCCCACAGTCCATTGATGTTTTCGTTCATCCGTGTTTGAAAACTTCTTCACATGTATTTGTTCGTCGCGACTCTGTGCGCAAACCTCTGGAACCTCCATACGACGGACCTTATAAAGTAATTAAACTTTCAGATAAATTCTTTGTCTTTGACAAAAAAGGCCGCGAGGACACCGTCAGCATTGACCGTCTGAAACCGGCTTACTTGGAGGGTAATCCTATTAGCGTAGAGCTTAACGTAGCCCATAAACCACAGGTAGCCGAAGATCATTTAGACCTCGATGAAGTCATTAGCACAGCGACAGCTACCGAACCTTCTGTCCAGCCCCCCAAGAAAACCCGTTCTGGACGTACCGTAAGGTTCCCAGAACATCTGCACACTTATTTGACTTAACGAAGTCGTGTGATTCACGCAACTCATTCGTTTATGGTACTGATTTTTTTTGACGTATCAATTTTTTTTATATACAGTACCACCGAACAAAAAATTTTTTTCTCAACAGTTCATGTAACATACACAAAAAAAATTAATTAGATGTATTTTTTTTCGATGTTCTGAACTTAGCATTATTTTACTGTATAGTATATGCACATAATTTTTTTTACCAAAAACTCATTTCGTACATTTTCCTCGACATGGTTCTTAGCGTTCTTGTTTTCTTTTCCAGGTGCGACAGGCACTGGACGGGAAACAAAGGAAGCACGGGATCCAACGAACGACAACAAGGAAGCTATGCACAAACACCCTATTAGCATAGGCAGACAAACTAGTAGGCATGCCACCAAGCCGCTCGGAAGATTTTTTTCACCCGAAAGGGAACCATCGAGTTATTTTTACTTCCGGCTGGTTCTGTCTTAGGGTCCTCACGACGCCACTAGGGGGGGAGTGAGCTGTAGCGGTAAATAATTCCCCAAAATTATTGACCACAGCAATCACTCATCATTGGATGCTGACCACCACCGTTTAAGTTGACTTGTTTAGCTGAAGGCTTCCGGTCAAGCATCCCCGCCATTTGGTACCCCGTCGTGTCACGTGCACGATCACTAGCCAGCTAAGCGTTCGTCTGACGGCTTGTTTTGGCCCCGAAATATATCACGTAGTTTGGACGATCAAATATTGGCTTTTGCTTTGTTTTCGGTACGCGAGAATTAATAAGTTAAAAGTTGCTGTACAAGAGATTCCGTCAACCTCTAAACCCAAAAATACTGTACTCATACATTATACGCAAGGCTAAAGCCAGAAGTGGTATGCCGTCACTCATAAGCATTAGTGGAGAAGCGCCTGAGACAGACGAGGGAAAGTCTGACAACCTCTCTGAATGCTTCTGTGACGTCTTCTTGTCTGGTTGCACCACTCAGGCATATGGTGAGGTCACTGACATCGCCACTCAGATGCCCGCAACTGTGGTAGAGCACACACAGATCCTCAAACTGCTGTCTTAGTTGTAGCCAGATAGATCACCTGAACACGATGGACTCCCGCCTTTACTGTTAACTTTCTTGGCGGATATAACATATATTCCACTTACGCAGATTTTCCGAGTGCCTCTGACTCCGGCTAAGCTAACCAGGGACCAGAAGGATGCCGTTAAAAGCCCTATCTTCAAAGAGGGGAAAAAGCAATTGGTGTGTAACTACTGACCAGTAAGCCTGACATGCATTAAAGCATAGGTAGTTAAAAAAATTATGAGGGATCAAGTTTCAGCTTATGTGGGAAAGCATGGCTTGTTGGTAGCGGCACAGCATGGATTCCGATCAGGACGGTCCTGCTGACAAAACCACTATTGGCTGGGGAAGGCTGGGTTGAGACCAGAGATTAAAACCTACTGTTGGACGTGATTTTTATCGATCTTAGTAAGGCATTCGATAAACTATCCCACTTAGGTCTCCTTAGCAAACTTTAAGGTTTCGGATTAGTCCAACATCTTTGTGAGTGTTTTAGGGAATACCTGATGGATAGAAGGCATAGGGTAACAGTTTATGGTGTATTTTCAGGGTGGATAGCAGTATTCAGTGGAGTGCCTTAGGGAACTGTATAATGGCCACACGCTATTCCTATTACACGTTAATGAACTATACGCTAATGAACTTTCTTCATCTTCATTATTATTTTCAGACGATATCAAGATCTGGAAAACTGCAGATAATAATGATGATAGGACGGCTCTACAAAGTGATCTAGATAAATTAGCTGAGTGGTCGAACTTGTGGAGTTTGGAAATTAATTCTAGGAAAGGGGGGTAATGCACTTAGGTCAAAAGTCTTATACGTCGTACTCCCTAGGGGACACTGAACTCTGATGTTAATGGATCATTGTCAGCAATCATTTGAAAACAAATGAAAACTGCAGTGTGGCCGCAGCTAAGTCTGTTCGAACGATCTGGGCACTCTAAAGAGCTTTAGAACGATTAGATGAATGTATGTTCAAAGTACTCTAAGCAACATATGTCAAGCCTCATATTGAATACTGCATACAAGCAGCCAGTCCATGCTTCAAGAAGGAAGGATATACCATAATTAGAGTGCAGAGAGTAGGAACCAGATTATTTTGTAGTATCTCAAACCTTCCTTATGACAAGAGGATGGAGCACTTAAATCTCTTCCCGTTATCATACCATAGGAAGAAAGGCGACCTTATTTTAGCATACCTTGTACTTAAGGGTGATTTAGGAACTAACCTTTCCAACCTTTTCTCCCCTTCAAGTATAAGTTCACTGGGCCACCGCATAAAGATGCTCAATTTGAGGATGATTGAAATACGTGCAGAATTTAGATTCTCTCACAGAGTGGTCAACGAATGGAACTCCTCACCTGATTCAGTAGTATCAGCCCCATCGGTGAACGCTTTAAAAGAGAAGTTGGATCTCTGCGAAGGTATATTTTGCAAGGACTAATACAGGCCACAAGGACCTACTATCCTTGTCATCTGAATCTGAATCTGCTTTGTTTCTCCATCAGTACACTAAAGTAGTAGGTTATAACTGTTGACACATATTTTCTTTCCTGTACCACTAAAGTAAGCATTTTAAAAGTTTCGAGAGAACGGAAAACCAGTTTCTAGGAAAAAAGACAGCAAACAATATTCGAAAGGACATTGATCATGAAATCCGCATATTAAATCAAAGTGACCAATCACAAGCAAAGCTCACCGTAGGTTATCGATCAGGCGGGACTATAAAAAAGTGATCTGCCTGATACGAAGAAGTAATTTCAAAGCTCGTATGTTCGATTAACATTACCATTAATCTAGGTTTACTTATTTTTAGATTGCTAATAAATAACATATCCTTGATTAATGTGTACTAACCCCATAGTTACAACTACCATTCAATTCTGTAGTGTTTAATGTAGACTTATAAGTTTACATTAAACACTACAGAAATTCAGGAACTACTCAAGGGTAATTGACAAATATCGCGGAACCGTATTCTTGAACTGATGACCAAGCGTGGTAGTAGTTCTAACTTGTCCGAAATCAAATTAAAATAATAGTATGTATTTAAATGTTCTTATCTTAATATACCGTGATAAGACTAAAAATCCGGACCAACTGAATTACGTGTTGAATAGCACTCTTGCCTTGTTGCAATATACCTACCTGACTTTCCCAAGCGTCAAGGTAGTCGTATAAAGCTTTCGTAATTTCTCACTAACTAGGCTATATAAATGCATAATAGACTTCACTTGGCCATAAATCTTAGTAATTAGTGATAAGTTACTTAGTGTTTCGATGGTTTTATGAGATTAGTTGAATGTGTGCAAAGTATGTGAAACTTCTCTAGTGACTTTAGGAAACATGTTTAGTCACTAAGACATCTCTAAATCTCATCCTTATAATTTCGCTTGATTTACTCTATTTCTTTTCATCGCCGTGGTTTATTTTGTTTTCCACTGTATGTATGTTTATGTTGGAGCCATTAGTAACGCAGATTTATCATCAACACAATTGCTGAAGTTTTTAACTATTTTCTGGATATAAGTTCATTTTTATCGCATTAAGTTCTTAATTTTAATGATTTTTATTTTTGTATTTTGACCATATGATGCTTTCAATTTATTTCAGTTACTTAGTCCTCCCCCTTTCTGCGTAATGTGTGATCGTGAATCCAGACTGAAGGCTATTGAGTCAGCTATTGGTATCTTTCCTGATTTCCCAATAAAAGGCATTCAATTTCGGTACAAAACATTTACTGAATAATTCTTGGATTTTTAGAGATATTTTCGGTGTATTCCGAAACCCTGTTTTAACGCAGTATTTGCTGGATGAAACATACAATATTGCTACATGTAACGTACAATGCGGAAAGGTAGGTTGTACCTCACCTTCTTTACAATATATTAGAAAATAGATGTTGTTGTAGGCCTTGAGGCACGTGGTTTTCTTCTTGGACCAACTTTGGCCCTCCGACTGGATTGTGCCTTCGTCCCTGCTCGAAAAGCAGGAAAACTTCCAGGTCCTTGTTACTCTCATACATACGAGTTAGAATATGGAACTGTAAGTCTCTGTTGCAGTAGATGCAAATATATTTTTACGCATATATTAATATGCAGTAGATGCAGTATTTCGTCTTATTTTTAAATTGCCTATTGTTATTCATATACAATTGCGGTTTAGACCGGTAGAGAGTTGATTAAGGTAAATATTGACAAACTGAATCATCTAAATCCAGTAATTCAGTTACTGGATCACGAGTCTTAACTCCTCTTACCTTTTATGTACACCGGAAGTGTTTAAGAATCCGGTACCATTCTATAACCTGTAGGCTAAGAAGTGATAAGATATTTTAAATTATCTAGTAGGAATATTTCTTCGCGACCGCAAATTCCAAAGACGTCTGCCTTAAACCATATATATATATATATATATATATATATATATATATATGATGTGTTAAGGCTCTATGAATCTGGAACAGATGTTAGTACCTATAAAACCCAATAGGTGGTGACAGAAAGCTTGACGGCTGAGTGAAACGCACATATTTTCTAACTTATAATTCGTCCATGTACCTGTATTTAAGAAACTTAGCGTAATGGTGATAATAAACTCTTCTAGTACTGATATCAAAGCATTATTGAAAAATCGGCTTATTTAGCTTTCATCGAGTTTCTGTTCAGCAATTCCTGCAATCACTTGATGTGAAGTAATACTCCACATGTCAATTCTTTTAGTTTAGCGGCCAGTATATAAGTCCTGTTAATATACGATTTATTAACACTGTAAACTAGGATAAATATCTCTCGTCTCTTTATCTTGACCAGTTATCAGACCATATATTCGAAAAGTGTAATACTGATAATTGAGTTTAGGTGTTCCTAGTCATTCAAATCGCTTAGGCATGTTCATCAATGTTGTACGCAAGTCTAAACATACTAGAATCTATAATAGAATCATATATAAGTCATAAATTCCCCCTTAACTTTTCAGTTTAAATATGTTACTTCATATAAGTAAGTATACGATGGGTTAGAAGCACACTTAATCCACAAAAGTTAATGAATTTGACTACACATCACATAGATGTAGTTTTTTTCCGCAAGTGCTTATCGAGTTTACTACCCTACTAAGTAATATGGGTTTGCCATTACGGAAATCCGTAATAAGAAAGCTCCCCTCATCATTAAAGCATCATAAGTTTACTCAAGAGTGAGAATTTCTGCATGCAGATATGCATTTTTATTAATAAATGCTTTTCCATCATGAAACACCAACAAATTTTTTCTGTCTGAACTACTTTAACTGGAATGATATTATTGTCTAAAACCTGACCTGTTCAGTATTCTACATAATTCTCACTTGTTAACTAGTCTTCTAGTTGTTACACCTGACACGTATTTGTCTTTTTCTATTCTTTCGGTGTAATAGGATACTCTAGAAATTCAGAGAGATTCTGTAAAACCTGGGGATAATGTACTGCTGTTCGATGATCTAATAGCTACTGGAGGAACCTTAGAAGCGTGTGTCAAATTAGTTAGACTGGCAGGCGCAAATGTCTTGTCCAGTTTAACGTTTATGGAGCTGAAAGATTTGCCCGGACGTAAAAGGTTGGAAGATCTTGGAGTGAGTGTACACTCAATCTTCAAAATTTAAGGGAAATATTTTCTCCAAATAGTTTTTAGAACACAAATTCCTACTTTGAAGTGTGTATTTTCTTGCTCTCAACTATCCTTTAGCACAAGAATGTTTTGTATTCACAGTATAATGTGTTGAATGCCTTATTATTACTTAACTACATGATTCGTTCTTCTATTATTTTGCTACTTATTTTTTAATGAAACCTGATATGATGAGACTTGTCTTTCCTTAACTTCACGAATTTACTGTTAATAGACTGTTTTCGTCTTCCTTTCTTCTATAACTGTGTATCTGCGTTTTGTTTTACTCAATAATATACGACTTGCATCCATTTACTTGTCTTTAATTAAATTACTTTGGTTATTGTCGGGTAAGAAAGAAAACGATTATTAAGAATACATTTCTCATAACAGTCGGAATCAGTTAGAAACAAATTAAAGTTCACACTATTCACGAAACATTCTTTATACGTTAATACCAAATTTTCGAATATAATTACCACCTTGCCTCATAGATTCAAATAACTAAGTCAAAGCTCTAATCTATTTAGACTTTCCAGAATCTTAAAATATGGAATTACCTAATTGCTTCATGATTTGTTGACAATGCACTGTTGAACACAGTAATTGGGGGTACTCATTTATAAACCATGCAACTCTTCACAATTGTGGGAATCAACTTGCTTTACTGAGCTGTGCAGTGGAAAGTGTTAGGCTGAATTATAATTTTTCTATCAAAAATACAATATGCATGTGAATTTAGCACCTAAGTTATAACAAAGGAGTTCTTAAGGCATTCAAAACCTGCAGTTATGTTAGTCGTGAGGCATGATAAGGCATAAATTATAGTAATACATTTTTGGATGTAATGTGGAATGGAATATGTACAGATAACTTTTGCATGTGGTTTCACGAGTGAGCTGCAAAGAAGTTCAGTATTAGTCCTTACCTATTTGTACCGCTGATTTCCCGTCCAAGCATCTCAACGGGATTCCGACACATGGGTTTCTTCAGACAGACACCTTAGCCCTGTCATTATTTCCCACTTGAAGCATGTATCACTAAGAAACAATGCGAAACACCTGAAATGACGTATTTTCAATTTATCTCCCAAATGTATCACTCAAAGTTTACTGTGAGTAAGCGTTACTTTTTTTTCGTATAGTACATGTTCTCACCATAACACATTCGTTTGTATGCCTAATAGTGTGCTTAAAATAGCAAATTATGACAGTAATTTTCACCCGATATCTGCCTATATTATCAAGACGTTTGAATTCACAACGTAAATTACTTTTAAGGAATCAAATTGTTCGTCGTGCATTTATGTTTTTCGGTAGCTTACTAAGTGGTGTTCCTTAGACTACACTACCTGCTTCTCGATCACTATTGATCATTTCGTTGGATCACTATAGGAAATACAAATTTAATCTCACCTACTGCTAAGAATTGATTTTGGTGCCTAGTCACGTATTGAATTATCCTTGAGTTATCCTTGTATTTAAATAATTTAGATGGCGATTTATTGACTAGAATACAACTCCATCTTGGAAATCATGGAGGTCTGGAGAGCTGTTATCCCGTAGTTCAAGACACTTTTGAAGTGATAACCTGTGGCACTACCATCTCACCAGACCTGGTGGACACCACCGGTCACGACTTCTGATTAGAATCCTGCCATTTTTATCTCAATTTTAGTCACTGTTACGCCTTCTATTGACACTAGGTTTTGATGTTCCCATTTCACGAAATTGACGAAGTTTGTGACTAACAGGTCATTGTTTCTCAATGCCGTGACTCAATTTTAACAAGCTCACCTTTTAAAGTCGTAGGCAGTATGTTTAGTGGGGTCGTGGTTTTTCACTGCTTAAGAATCCCTAATTGAGTCACAGCAGCTGTCTAGGACTCCCTGGTTTTCATTAAGTACTTTACTGGTTCTTAACGCAATCCGTCTCAAAAGCAATCAACTCTACACTAATTCATTAATTAAAAAGACATTTTTCATGATGTAGATATTGATGAACATTTGTTCGGCGTTTGGGTATCAGTTCAGTTCTAGCGTTTGTGTGTTCTACAGTTTTCTGTGAGCATTCATCACTCAGTTAATATAAACCACAGCAATCCTAAGGTTAACTAGCATCACTTCAGTCTTATTAATTAGACAAGTGGGTAGTTGCATCACTGTATTGAAACTAATCCTAACAACGATAAGAATGAATAAATACATGGTGCGTAGTTGTTTTATAGATAAAGCTTTATTTAACACAAAAAGGTGGAGGACGTGGGATTTTAAGTGACAAGGGCTGCGTGTATTCTGCTTACTGTTAGGATAATCGCAGAAGAACTCAGTCGGGCAGGACAGATGCAGGCAGAGTTGACAGCTGTAGAATGATTGTTAACAGGAACTCTGGACAGATGACTAAAGTCAATTTGTATACAATCCGGTTCATAACATCACTGAAACTAGAAATACACATGCTTCAAATTATCTAGTTATGGATATATTATAGAAATTTGGTTTACGTGTGATGTCTTCAGTAGTTTAATGGATTTGAAAACGACCATCTTCTCTTTGTTTCTTCAAAATATCAACTGAGAGTGTATAGTGTTTTTCGTAGGGAACTTATTTCATTCTGCTTACTAAGTGATTTAAGAATGATAGTTCTCAGAAATAATAATCCATTACACCTAATCATCGCCCGACCGAAAGCTGCTACCTTGACGTGGTGGTCGGGCTTGAACACCGCAATGATCTATTCAAGCTATACTGGCTGAGACTTATGTCTCTTGAGGTACTACCATGCCAGGCAGGTTGTTTGGATAGCGGTTAAACAAAAAGCAGCTACCCAATCCAACATCATGTCCAATACAAAATCACAAAATTTCATGCCGGATCGGCCGTGGCCCGGATTAACAACGACCGCGCTTCCTGCTGCCGTGTCACAGGGCAGGAGTGATAAATCTGCTACTGAGACACACCAAACAAAAAAGAACGAACAAAAACAGGCCGCGTGTGACCGGCCTCAAGCAGTTGTCCCCTGGGCTCTGCGGTCACGCAACCAACTTCCACGGTGTGGGCAGCCGGGAAGTAACAATCGCCCTCACAATCCGAAATGCACACGAAACCTCTCTATTACTCACTCATCTTTGTCTTCATCTTCATCTCTATCATCTTGCCTTCCTTCCACTGATGCAACTCCTCGACTTGATAGCTCTCCACTTCCTCTCCACTCTGCGTCCACTAAAAACGATGGAAGCCAAAAAACCACCACCGACAGCCTCTTAAAGCCGCGCCACCAATTTCATATAGGAGCTCTTAATGTGAGGACACTGTGCCAAATAGGACAACAAGCATCACTAGCCAAGACCCTGGCATCACGAGCCATTGATGTATGCTGTGTTTCAGAAACACGCATACAAGACCCAAGTGTGGTTATTCACCTAACCCCACCTGGCCAACAGGTTGAATCTGCAAAATTCACCTTGAGGGTGTCAGGAGATGCCACAGCTAGTTCACGAGGATTAGCTGGCGTAGGGATAGCTTTGAGTACTAGGGCAGAAAAGATATTACTTGACTGGATCCCGGTAGATAGCCGAATGTGTGCTGTCCGCCTGAACGGATCAGTAAGAAGGAGGAAGGACTGCACTACTCGCCGATGCCTTTTCGTAATCTCCGCCTACGCCCCCACTGACTGCAGTTCAGATGAAACGAAGGATGAGTTCTACCAAAAGCTGTCTAGTTTGGTGCGAAAGGCTAAACACTCAGACATAGTCGTTCTAGCTGGTGACTTTAACGCTCAAGTAGGGAAATTGTGTCAATCTGAGAAGGATGTCGGTGGCACCTATGGAGTCCCGTGCCAGCGAACCGACAACGGTGACCGTCTCCTACAGTTCTGCTCTGATAATCATTTGTTTCTTGTAAGCACTAACTTTAAACACAAGGAGAGACACTGTTTGACTTGGAGACCCCCTTCATCAAATCAACGCTGGACACAAATAGACCACATAGCAATAAGCTATCGTTGGCGTGGGTCGGTAGGAGATTGTCGCTCCTTCTGGAACACGTGCGTAGATACCGACCATGCACTGGTCCGCGCTCGGGTGTGCTTACGACTGAACGGACGTAGGAAACAGCTGGCGGTAAAACCATCACGTCCCCAGCTCGATCAGGAAACTAAATCCCTATTTGAGGAAGAACTAGCTAAACACATATCTGAGTTCGACAGCTGTGCTCACCCTGAAGAAGCTTGGAAAAATATCCAGGCAGCCATAGATACAGCTGTAAAAGCTGTGAATAAGGTAAACCCAAAGGTGAGTAAAAACCACTGGATCTCCACCGCCTCATCCGAACTGATAGATGCTAGAAGACTTATTCCGGCGAGCTCCGAATTCAATGAGGAGCGAAAGCTGCACAAGAGGAAACTTACGAAAAGTCTCCGCAAGGACCGTGAACAGTGGTGGGCGACAAAAGCCAAAGAGATGGAGAAAGCTTCGAGGATAGGTAACACCAGGCAACTATTTAGACTCATCAGGGAAACGGGTGGGAGAAGACAAATCATCAGTGAGACAATCTCGGAAAAAAATGGCACTATAATTAGCTCCCAGGATAGACGACTGGATCGTTGGAAAGAGCATTATGAGGAGCAGTTTAATTTGCCCACAGCCACGCTCAACCTTCCGAGCATCCAACACCTCCCTGAATGGGATATAAACACAGGTCCTCCGTCACTAACTGAGGTTACTAAAGCTGTCACCAATCTGAAACTAGGCAAAGCAGCGGGACCTGATGGAATGACTCCAGAGGTATTTAAGTACGGTGGAGACAGCTTACTGTCCGGATTAACTGAGGTACTAGGCAGCGTCTGGGAATCAGAAGAAGTCCCATCGGGTTGGTGTAAGTCACTGATTATCCCCATATACAAGAAGGGAGACAAGTCTTCCTGTGATAATCACAGAGGGATTAGCTTGACTAATATAGTATCTAAAGTCTTAGGCTCAATAATCATGCGTAGACTAAGTGGTCCATGGGAGGCACAAACACGAGAGAGCCAGGCTGGCTTTAGACCAGGAAGAGGGTGTATTGATCATATCTTCACCCTCCGACAGATTCTAGAACATAGGCATTCCTACCGGCGTCCAACAGTCATTATATTTCTTGACCTAAAGGCAGCATTCGACTCTGTCGATCGGGAAGTTCTCTGGAGATGCTTGGCTGTAAAGGGAATTCCAAGAAAATATATTGCACTGATTAAGGCACTCTACTCGTACTCATACAGCCAGGTGAGGGCTTACGGCGAGCTGTCATCTGAACTGATGACGACCAGTGGTGTC